TGTAACAGATGCATGTTCTGTCTCTTCTTTGAATTCATACAATGGTACCATGCAATAATCAATATAAACTACTTCAGACAGACGGCATAATATTAATAAAAGTATGGTATGCTGTGCGTTACTGTAGGTGCTGATTCAGCCTGGTACAGTAGTTTATGTTGTGTTCCTGGGTTGTCATCGCTCGCTAACCTGGGTTGGTCCAGTAGGATGATGATCATGCATGCGACAGCGGAAAATTGTGGAGTTTGTGTTTCTTGTGCTCTGTGTACAACTTTACTTTTTCAATATATATTAATTTGCTGTAAATGTGTGGCAATAAAAGTGATTCCATGTTTCATAAGGTTAATCAGTGCCGTAATAAGGGGTGTGCTGAATCCTCAAAAATTAAAATACTTGTGTCACCCTCAAAGATCACACTCAAGTAGTTAAAAATCACCTCAAATCACCTTATTTTTACAAGCTAGCACACCTTCACTTTACCCCATGCTCCCGTCATCTCCCCCCCCCCCCCCCCGTTTCAAGACTCTTAGATGCGTCACTGATATGATTGATATATGTTGACGACTAAAAGAGGAAAAGACACAAATTATAATAAAATACTTTTATATAAGGCCAAATAATGAATTTCTTGTGCTATCCATTATTTTATGCTGCGTTCATTTTATTGTATTCCATGAGGTAAGAATTTCAGAAACACTCCCCCAAGTCCAAGTCTGACGTACATGCTAATTACTGTGTTTGTAGCTTTGATTGTGCCAGCCTTGTGTTGACACACTTGTCCATGCTATTGTTTGCAATTTCACTTGTTATTTGGGTGTAAATTAAAATCAAGGAAATAAAATCTAATGATTTGAATATGTGAAAAATCTAGCAATGTTTTAAGTTGGTAATGGGTGAAAGATTAAGCCCTTTATTTTCCATCAACCTGTGTTTTTCTGATTTTGTTCTGTATCCATTATGGCTAGAGCATCAGGATTAGGAATGCCTATTGAGCCTTTGCAAATTGGTTACATAATGCAAGAATAGACACAATCCAATTCAACCAACTCCACTGTTAAAATAGGATCAATGTGTGGTGTTATCTCTCTTGCCTTGAATAATCTGCTAGGCTTTAATTGAAAGACAGATTAATTTACAGTAGTATGGATGCAAACCAGGAATAAGATTTCAACAAATTTGAAAACATTTTTGGGTGAACTTCTCTTCCCTTTCCACTTCTGTCTTTCTATTTTGTAATCTGGGCTCAGTCCTCTCCCTTGTCGTTTATTTTAGGAACATGATCCAAGGGAGTTTTCTTTATGTTTTCCTTTTATCCATTTTTGTATGTGTTTCTATATTTTTTTAAAAATAAAAGTGATTTGAAAAAAAAACCCAAATGCTAGTGACATTTGCTACAATTGGCTTAAATCTTCATTCAGTTGAATTATTATGTTACCTTATTTTACTTGAATAAAAGCCCCGCTTTGAATAAATGCGCCCTTGAATAAATTTCCCCTAGAGCCTCATTTAGAATAAATGTCTCCCTCCAAAATAAAAAATGAAGCATTTTTATTTTTTTTGAATAAATGCTAGTAAACCAATCTATATGTAAACAACATCATTCTCGACACATTCTATTAATGTTATACTCCAGTAGAATTTCATTTTTGGTCCTCACTGCTGTTCTTGTTCTTGTCTTGTTACCAAAACTTTAAAAACTTAAAAAGCGTCCAGCATCGCCAGTTTTGAACGGACGTGCATGAAATTTTGTACACATAAATTAGAGGAGATTTCCAACAAACATTCATCGAAAAATTTATACACGTAAACTAGAGGTGATTTCCAACAAACGTTCATCGCCTTTTTTTTAATTTGGTCACCAGGGTTCGACCTACACCTACAAAACAAAACAGAAGTTTCAAACTTTAAAAGCATCCAGCATTGGCAGTTTTGAACGGACATACTGGAAATTTTGTTCATCTAAACTAGAGGTGATTTCCAACAAACGTTCAATGCCCTTTTTTAAGTTGGTCCCCAGGGTCCCCCTACACCTACAAAACAAAACGGGTTTTAAACTTTAAAAGCGTCCAGCGTCGCCAGTTTTGAACGGACGTGCATTAAAGACGTGCAGGAAATTTTGTACACATGAACTAGAGGTGATTTCCAACCAATGTTTATCGCCCTTTTTTTAGGTTGGACCCCAGAGTTCCCCTTACACCTACAAAACAAAACAGGGGTTTCAGCAAGGAGTGTACATTATTACTATTACCTCTAATAGGGCATGTCACATGAATGGCGTGGTCGGTTAAGTCTGTGTTTTAAAGAACTTAAGGTCGTGAGTTCGAAACGCGTCTTGGTATTCTCTTTTTTTTCCAATTTTAAGAAAATTTATTTAGTTTTTTCACTTTTAAGTATTTTAATTTTGTACAAATGATCATTCTATATAATGTAAAAATTTATTTTTGTTCAGTTTTACGTAACTTAATTTTTAATTCTAAATAACTTTTTTTTGTACCAATATCTTATTAGCTCTTCCAAAAAAACCCAATATAATAAACTTGCGCATGTACCATATTTAAGAGTGGAGGAACGTGCGGATCATGTGAGTGGTTGCTCGTATTTCTAACCTGGTTGGGATCAATAAGTCTTTATGATCACACAATAACACATTTTGACAGTAACTATGTGCTGTATTGCCACATTTACAGTGAAATTAAGGAGCATTTATTTGAGTATCTACGTATCCATTTTACACCAAAAAAAAAAAAACTCCCTTGAATATATGCCTCCCTCAAATATACGCCCCCTAAAAAATCCTCACAGCATTAAACAACCGAAACAACCGGGGCAATTATTCAGATAAATACAGTATTGACATATTTTTGTCTAAATCTCTCATTTTAGGGTGGCTAATCAAAAGGTGGGTGTACAATTATAAGTAAATTTAAAGTTTTTTTTAAAGTATTTGTCAGCTGAGCTAAACTTAATAATTCATTACTCTGGTCTTGATATTGACCATATCTAGGGCTTAGCCTGTGATTCACTATAAAGATCACTCAGCAACTACCTACATTAATATGAAAATTAAATTATTTCCGAATTCAAATAGTCATTGAATTAATAGTAACTGCAGGATATGTTCAGGGGTGACTAAGCTATCCAACTAGGGGTCTGACATATTCTAGTAGAGACCACAATGGCATCCTGGTGGCAAGGCAGGAGGTAATTCCCTGATATGTAGAGAAACTGGATGATTTTTGCACAATTCGAAGCATTTTCAAATATTCAGACAAAAAATTGAAAAACTACCATTTCCCTCTACTTTTTTTTTGTTGGTCTGACTATATACTGCCTGCTCTCCCTCTCCTTCCCCCTGCCCCTCCAATGTTGGAATTGCCACTGGCAGTGCTGTAACTGGGTGTATTGACTCAAAAACTTTATTTCATACTGTCTCATTTATGTTGCTTCATTAAAATTTTTGTAAATTCTAACTGTTCAGTAAATTCATTCATGTTATGTTATGTTATGCATTAGAACAGTAAAAATTGCAGTCAAATATTGGTCTCCTATATATTTATCAGTCTCCAGGTCATGTCTTCTAATTCATGTTAGTCAGGCCTCAGGGATTTTCTTCTCTCATCATTATTAATTTGAGAAATTGCTAAATGAATAAATATGCACAGCGAACCAAGCTATTTTAAGCCTTTCTTGGGATTTCCCTTTTAACGTTAGCGATGCTTCATTAAAGTTAAGTACTTCTCAGTGACAACTATCTAACAAATCCAATAACATACTGTAAATTATAAGGAAAGAATGTGTTACAAAATCAGTTGTCAAACATTGTCTAAACAATATTACTTTTTCTGTAATGGAATGATAAACCTAGTGATATATGAATTTAAAACTGACCAGATTATGACCCCTGATAATGTATTGGTACTTGCAATCATTAAAGTCATTTACAAATGAAATACCTTGCAAAGCTATTATAGACTGATACACTAGGATTTACTGAAGTAATTCATTGCATTCAGAAATAAATGATGTACTTGATATGATATTAGAAATGTGATGAGCTAAAATACTCGAAAAATATATTCGTAAGTTTAATTGTTACTTTGTATGTTAATTAATAGCTTTCATTTAAAACAAAAATATTTAGCTATTTAATTGACATGAAAATAATATCATAAATGTTAGAATGTCTGGTAATTAATTTAATGTTACCATAAAGAATCTCAAACCTAAAACATTATTTATACATCTGTGAATTCGGAAGGAACATTTTTTTTTCAAATTTCTACCCTAAAAATTGATCACTATAGACAACGATACAGTCGGCAAATTATGTTGCAGCTGATTGTCTGGATACCCTTTCAGTCCAACCTCAAGCACCTTGGATTGATGGTACATACCGTACTGTATCTGCTGCAATCACAAAGGTTTACTTTTATGCTTGCTTGGTTTACTGATCTTCATCTCAGCGAACTGAATGTTATGTAACACTTCTTTGCATAGTGATCAATAAATCCACATAGCCTATAGGCTCCTCAGAGTAAATCCCTTTGAATAACTCATACAAACAAAGTACTTTTAGACAGTAGGGGTTCTTTTGATGCTTTCATAACCAACCAACTTTGTTACGCTGTAAAGCATGAAAGAATAAGTTGATATGTTTTGCCATAGTAGCACACCAGCCGCTGCAAAAAAATGAAATTTTTTACGCAATTAACTTGTTTATATAATTACAACTTTTGAATTAGCGCCATACTTAGGCTTACAAAAATGTCACGCTCTTGGTTGTGCTTAGGTGGCCATTATAATAACTTTTAAAGTGGTACTATATTTCTGGTACTGTATAATCGTAAAAAAAAGTAGGAGAGGTGATTTGTTTACAGATGTGAGTAAACAAACATAACATTTTTTTGAACATTTTTGTTACATCTTTACCTATTTTGAGGTTGTATGTTATGTACTGTACATGTTGTGCATAATTAAAATGCTGGGTTTGTTTCTTACAGGTGTTTCAGTGAACCAAACAAAACCACCAGTAAAACCAAAACCGAACATTTCAAAGTTTATCCTAAATCGAATACGTAATGCCGACTTTAAAAATTCAACAGTGCGGTACTCCAGCCAGTCTGCGCTGTCACACATCCCTGGAGAAAATGATGAACGTACAACACAATCCATGTTTATTGAATCAACCAATGATTCAGACTTTACCAACCTAAAAAATGAAACAAGGAATACTGTGATTGTTGCAGAGGTAAAAGAGAAGGAGGAGGAAGCTGACAAAGCAAAAAATAGTGTTGCAATAAATGAAGATGTAAAAATTTGTGAGTCAATAGTTCGCAAGGAAAATATAAATAAAGATGTTAATGAGAAAAATGATGTGAATGAGGAGATTACAGAAACGTATGAAGTGTCGGAAACGGTACTTGAAGATTCAACCAGTGATGTTGCAGATGGGGACACCTGTATTGAACATACAGGTGATGACCATCCTTATGCAAATATTGATTTTAGCCTTGAAGATGATAATGATTATGTGAACTTAGAGCCAGGATCTCAGTTTGCAAATCAGTGTTCCTCTGCAAAACGAAATTCTCAGGAGCCTTCAAGTAAACTTCCTATACCACCTCCTCGACGATCTAAAAGTCTTTTAGAACAAGCTTCAAAGACTAATGAAAAGAAGCAAATAGTTAAAAAAACTAAGAAAAACAGTCCCGTCCATGTCAGGAGAGAGAAAAGGCAACAGCACTGTCTGGAACACTCCCAATCTCTACCAGAAAGTAGTCAATTCTTGGAGGCTAATCATAATTCCATTGTTGATCCTGAAAGACCTTACAGTAATATTAGACCTACTCCAATCAGACGGCAGAAGAAGTTTGATAAATCTAATAAGGAGATTTATGCTGAGTCTGCCAAAAGGCAATCAAATCGAACATCTTCAAATAGTCCTGTAGCAAAAAGGAAAGAAAAAAATTTGAGTGCAGTGAAAAAGAACAAATCAAAATTAATAAATGAATCCTCTAGGAGACAAAGGACAATCTCTGCAAATTCTGCTCTAGATCCGAAGTTGGTGGAAAAGGATTCACCAGAAAAGTCAAAGCCTCCAGTGAAACCTAAGCCACCAAAACGAAAAAGCAGGAAAGAACGTTCAAAAACAATGACTCCAGTTGTACCTGAACAGGTTCTTAGTAAAGAAAATGATACTGATAATGCACGTTCGTCGACACTCACAGCGCCCCCAAGGAAAAATCGTAGCAGATCTGTAGAAGTTGTTTCAAAAGATACATTTGACTTGCCATCAAGTGCGGAGCTTAAGATAAAGCCAATGCCTGAGTTATCATCAAAGCAATCTTCTGAAAATATCAATGGGTCCATTTATAAAACAAACTATATATCTGGAAATCCAACAAAAAAAACTACAAAACAGAAAAGCCACGGGTCTGTAGCTAGGCCTTGCAGACCTGCTCCTCCTCCACCAGTCAAGAGCAAATCATGTGACAGTGCTAATATAGCAACAGGAACATTTTATTCAATGGTGAATGATGCAACATATGCTGTTGTTAATAAGAACCGTAAGGATAATTTATCAAAAAGCAAAACAGAATCTGGAATTAAGGGAGAGGGATCAGATGCAAGGCTACCATCCACTCCACACAAAGTCATTTCAGACTTGCATACCTTCTCATTTCCTAGTGACAAAATAGATTCTACAAAAGTTGCAGCAAGAATGTCTGCAGAAATAGAGGCTTCTGCCGGGCCAGAAGTCACTGATAATAAAGAAAATACTTTGGAATCAGAAGTATTGGAGAATGCAACCGTTGAACAGTTGAAGTCTCCTCTCAGTCGCGACAACAGTGGCAGCTCCGGTAGGGGCAGCTTTCATTCCAGTGAAAATCGGAACTCTGGGGAAGGCAATAGAAACAGTGGCTTAAGTGATGATTATGTCTTACCTGACATCAAACCATTAGATACAAACAAAGACGAGCAGATATACGTTAACCAAATAGCATCACCAGACTTGCATCGGAAAATAACCTATCCATCACCAGTTCTTGGCACCCGTTCCATTCCAATAAAGCCAAATGAAAGTGTTGATGACCAGTCAGAGATAGAACTACAAGACGGATATGAAGACATGTCAAAGTTCGCACGCAAGCAGAATGCGCAAAATATCTACTCCGTACCGAGGTCAGTCAATTATTTATTTTTCAGGAATACATAACAATCAAAATGGATAAAGTGTAACATGGTAAAATAAAGAAATAAAAACAGAATTACAATACCTTTTAACAAAATATAATTTAGAAAACAAATAATAAATTAAAGCTTCCAGATTGAAGTCAAACAGGACAGATATAAAAACAAAGTATAAAACTCCTGTGAACATTTATAATTTATCCTCAACATTATCTGGGATTTGTGGCCACTAACAAGGAAAAATAATGAAGTGGGGTTTTTAAGAGAAAGGAAAATCTTGTATTTAAGAGAAAGGAAAAGCTTATATGTTCTTGGTATCTTTATTATTATTCCTGAAAAGTGATAGGGGAGGGAGGATTTTTATTTTTTTATTTTTCTAAAGCCAAATATTATTACCAAGTTGTTTGCTGGTGCATTGATATTCAAAGTAAAATACATGATTGAGATGATACAAACAATATCTACTAACTATTTACTTAAAAACTGAAAAATAAATGGAAAAAAAAAAGATTAAAAAAGAAAGTATTAATTTTTTTTTTCAATACTATAGAAGACATGCGGGTGAGTTTGATAAACTAATATTTTTTATTGGGCCTACCTCAATAAGAATATATACAAATAAGAATTAATTTCTAAATTTGCAAGTAGTAAATAGTTACACATTAAAAAACAGTTGATATAAACAATTTTAAAGCTATTAAAAAACTACAGTATTTAGAAAAATAGATTTAAGAATATAAAAGTATTCATTATGCTGTCATTCAATCATTTTAATATTCATTTGTAGTGGCACTTTCAGTTACAATTTGTGACAAAGTGTATTGTTCGTAGGTGGCAGTCGATGTTTTAACATAATCATTGAACTATTACCCAAGGACCTTCATGAATATTCATAAGAATGCTTCAAAATGTGAAGTTTAATGTTCAATAAGAGGTTTGCAATTAGTTCGTACTTTATATAAATTAGTTTCAGTTTCTACACAAAAGGAAGAAGTTGCATATTTTGGTAAATATCTCCATGAACTTTGAAGAATATTGTTTTATTTATTGTCCGAATATATATTTATGGGAAAAACGCTATGCTGGAAGAGTGGTGCTTAGATCTGTCTGTGGAGGATGTGAGTGAAGCTGTATTGAGTGTGTTTGATTTCAGGTGAGTCAAGGGTCAACCAACCAGTTTTTTCCAATGTTTTGATTTTTTCTCTGTAGTTGGATTCATGTGCAAATGAAATTGTATTCCGTGGAATTATTAAGAGGTCAGGGGTTCAAACCTTTTGCTTGTGAAGTATAAATGTGGTACCTGGTAGGATGTGGTGGCATTGGATGCTATTGTTGTGCATGTTATGTATTCAGATTCAGATTTTTTGAGAATGGTAGATCAAGGATTTTGAAATATAGGTGGGGGGGGGGCCCCAAGGACAGACTTCAACAAATAGGGCCCATTTATACAACACGCTATTACAGCGCGGCAAAGTGAAGTGTGTTGTATAAACGAGTTTGGATTCTGTGTGATTACAAAACCATCTGACAAAGAGGCTACTTGAGGAATAGCCAAATTTGGCCGGTTCATCACCCTGGCGATGCCTACTTGTTCCCTCAGGCTACAGCGAGCTGTAATTAATCAACTCGACAGGTCGCTATTTCGGTAAAATAAAAAGTATCGCTGGATGTATTTAATGATTTTTTTGTATTTTACCTTTTTGTTGGTTTCTTTGATTTTGAACTATTTTTTTTTTTAGTACTGTACTGTAATTTTATTTTGGATTTGTATATTTATGTGATAGGCTTAAACTTTACTTTTTAGGCCTTTTTTTGTTAATTGTGCGGCTTAAGTGCCACTGATATAATAGTGTACATCCAAATGAATTAATATTATAGATTATATTTTCTTTGTAATTATCGCTCGGTAAGTACCGCGAACAAATCAAGCACATGTTTGTTGTCTTGTCACTCCGCAAGCCTAATGCCTTCCCCCTCCATTCGTCTAGCCTATCATCAGACAGAAACAGTCAAAAGATCGTCGTTTCCCATGATACTCAACCATTAGCGATGGTAAATACAATAATTAGTGAAGAAACTACAAAATAGGATTACGAGAGAAAATATTACGGGACTATATTAACACAATTGATCAACTGTAAACAATCCACTCCCCTTCCAAAAAACAAACTGTGCAAATGCAGCGAAAAGAGAGTAGAGTTGCACTGTTGGTTTGAAAGCATATCCCAAAATACATTGCGGCATACAATAACATGTATTGGGTTGTTGCATAAACAGCGAAGTATAAACACAACCATAGAGAATCTATACCAGTATATGCAACCGTGGTCCGCAGACCACGGAGTCGTCCACGAGCACTGTAAGTAATCTGCCAAAAGTTAAATGGTCTGCCGTCGTATATGACCTATAAATCCACAAAAAACAACATACTATTTTAATCTGACATTGTTTTTACACTGACGTGCCAGTCATATTATTGCGAAATTGGGTTTATCTGCGTTGCTTTTTGTTCCCAATTCAAAATCTTACATGGGTCTAGAAATAAGCCAAGCTTTGGTCGAAGAAATAAATAAAATCATGCAAATTTTAAAAATTATTTTAGCATTATTTTTTGACCATGGGATAAAGGAATAAATAATTACTATGGAGTTCTATTTATTGTACCTTGGTGCGGATCTCCCTGCTCCGTGTAGTACCTCCTATGTAAAATGCAGTGAAGCAGTCTTAATGCTACTATGAATAATTAGTAACTTATCATGCCTGAATGCATAGCACTGCTGTAACTGATTATGTGTCTGCCTATTACGTAACATTACATAACCTGTTTGTGAAGCCATGCAGGTTGACAAAGTAAAGCATTTGCAAGGTAACCAGTGACACGTAGACACACTTAAAAATTGGGCTTAAGATTGAGAAACACAGCTATATCCTGGTAAGATTTTTTAATCTTTAGATTTGTTTTGTATGCTAGTTGTATTAGGGACAGGATGGGTTTAATATCTGCATGGTGGAGATACACGAAAGGAAATGGTCCAGGAATGAATTAGCACAAATAATAATAGGAAAAAGGGAGTGGTATAATTTTGCTGGTAAAGGTCAGATGTTCACTCACATGGTCAGTACTCTGCTGGACATCAGGCCTCTCACCATTAAAGCACTGTGTGCTTACAGAGATAGCAACCAACACAATACTTAATGTTTTATATCAAAAAGTCCAAAGTGGTATGTTCAGGTTATTGTTTGTTATGTAATTAACTATTTAAGAGTAGTGGATGTTAAACTGAAATTAATTTCCTTTACACATGCATGGTAAAGTGGGTAAAATAAGTAGAGCGTATTGTAGCTATAGATTACAACCAAAATTTGTCTGTGAATTTTGCTTTAAACTACTGTCTCAATTTAGGCTTGCTTTCAGTGGTGAAACTAGGTTGATTTTAAATTTAAAAGTTTTTGTAATAAAACTAGTGAATTCATATTACATTTAATACATGATCTTACAAATAAAATAAGTACAGTCGGACTAACAAAATTTGTTAAACTACCTTGAAATGATAATCATGTTCGTAGCATTAAAATATGAAACTTTCTGTAAATCCCTTGTCACTGATGGAGACTTCATGCCAAGTACTGAATGTACTTTACTGCTGTCCAATTGTTTAGCTATTTATCATTCATCAACCAGAATTTTATGCTTTCAGAGATAACGAAGGTCATAGATTTGTGCATGGTCTGTGATAATGGATGTCCAATCACCAGGCTAGAATTAAAGTGTTGCTTATGTAATGTTACATAACGCATTGAAAAGAGATTAGAATTACAAGAAAGGCCTTGATAGCTGTGGACTGGCACTGTGAAATGTATTTCAGGTGGTCAGTTATTTAATTCTCAAATAAAGCATTAGCGAAGCACCAGCGAATCTTGTAGCATTACTTAATTTATGGTCAACAGTTGTAGAATTCATAGTTATTGGTTTATTGCAGGATGCTGCAATACAAGTTAAGGGCAACATAAGGCCAAATTTGGTGCATAGTCCATGTGTTATTCAAATCCCCAGCCATAAAGCCTATTATAATAATTGCATCACATATATTAAAATATTCAATTTAATGGAAAATTTAAAACTACCTAAATAATTTAAAATGGTGGTACTGTATATATATTTAGGTGCGTATAAAACCTTCCCAGTAAAATGTTTTTTAAATTGAATTCATTTAGTAAAGCTACAACTGTAGTAAAATATTTATAAGTAGAAACTTTATTAACAGGTATTGAGAAACATATTTGCCAATATTGTAGTAATTAAAACGCGTGCCTATTAAACCTGGTATGCATTAATTTGAATGAGTCCGCTCAAAATATCTTGCATAACAACTAATAAGATGACCATGTAATGCTAATCTACAGTATAATTGATCATATCCTAATCTATACTTTTTAAAAACATTATTTAACCATTTGGCAGTTGTAGGGGCATGCTTAACTACGTAATATGGATATTTTAGGTATTGTAGTTAAACACCCTTCCCCCTATAAATTAAAAAGAAAGTTAATATTTAAATATGTATTAACACATGGTAGAAACTGCTTGTGCTTCAGCATCAATAGTAACCACAAATTAGTTTAAAAACCTCTTCCATTGCTGTTTCTTTAAAGCAGAGTAATTGAATATCAGATACAGTACTTGCCTTGTTACTGGGCTAGAATAACAACCAGCATATGTCAAAAGTGTTCTTGATCTTCAGTTGTTTGCTTCAAGTACAAACTCTATTGTTTTCCAACCCACAGAGCTTGCAACCACACTCCAACTGAAGATGGCAAATGTGAATGTGCAGATTTCACCGATAGTAGTGGGGATGAAGACGGTGGATCCCTATCTGATGATGAAATTGAAGAATATGGGAATTACGAGCCCATCAGTGAACTGACGCAGTCAGGCAAGCATATTGTAGAACATGTAGAAATGACACCTGAACACAGACGCAAGGTTCTTTTAGTTGCAAATGAGGTCCGCGACTCTGAAAGAGTGTAAGAGCACTAGAAACATTTATATTTTGTTGTAAATTTTAAGTGCTGTGATGATTCTTATATAATAATCTGTTAGCACATTAAAACATTTTTATGATGGTAGTGCAATAACTTTTGATTTGTTAAATTATATTTATTTTTTTATTTGTAGGTTTGTTGATGTCTTAAAGCTGTTGAATGAGGTATGTTTTCAAAGTTGCTGACCCTACAGTGTAATAGAACAAAGCCAAATAAAATTCTACTATAATCAAAGCATGTATGCAGTGTATTACATTAGTACATTTTTAACCCTTATAAAAGACGTCAATGATACCAGCATAATATCAAAATGTCATGTCCTGTTTAATAAAAGTTTAATATGAAATTTTCTTTAAATTACCTGTAAAATCAAATGTTGCGTCTTATTCCAGGATTTCCGTTCAGCCATTGAACATGCAAGTTTTAACACCTCCAGACCTGTTATTGATGAGAAGGTCCTTGATCAGATTTTGGGGCAACTTCCTCAACTACAGATGTTCAACGAGGACCTGTTGGATGATTTGGATAAAAGAATCGAGGAGTGGTGAGTAACTTAAAATTTCACTTGTTCTCGATCTAGAATAAATTCAATCTGCATGTAGAATAATAAGTCTCAAAACAGCATATCATTTTAAGTAAAAAATGCAGGGCAAAATAATATATTTCCTCTTATAAATAAAAAAAAAAACTGCACTCCATAAGATATCAAAAAATATATATGAAATTATAAAAATAATTAACCTCGTTTTTCCTAGAGTTCAAGATAAAATATTTAGTAAAAGATAAAATTTGACCGATTGTATTAAAATATTCATTAACTTACAATTCTAAGCAATCAATCTTTACTGCAGGGATGAAAATCCAAGATTAGCTGACATATTCCTAAAGAAAGGTCCGTATTTAAAGCTGTACACAACCTATATAAGAGATTTTGAGAGACTATGCGCCATCTTTGATGAGGCATGCACTAAGTACTCGTTTTTTGGCCAAGTTGTCAGGGATTTCGAGGTAAGTTAAACGTAAATTATTATTCTATTAATATTTACATTCCATATTTAAATATAGTATTGGGAGACATTTTTATCTTGTTTGTGAATGCACTGCCAATAACAGGAATAAAAACATAATTAGATTTTGCTAAATGAAAAAAAAACCCAAAATATTATTGAAAGTAATTTTTTGTTTAAACAGACCAATTAATTTGTTTCGATGTTTATTCCACGAACATCTTAAGAGTGATGTATCTTATTAAGTAATACCACACTAATAGATGGCAGTTGCTTAATAATAGGGATGTATTTGTGGAATGAACATCGAAACTGTTAGTAAAAGTCAGTTATTTACATCGTACCTACAAACCAGATAAATGTTTTCAAGCAAAATGATATTTATACAAAATATTTAGTTTTTAATAAGTAAATTTCAAGGACTTTTTCACTATTGCTGTTTAGTCTACTTAAAAGTGAAGCTCATGTTAATGGGGCTCGGGTCCAAACCATATGGATAGTACAGATAACATATGTGTGCTTGCAGTGCAACCTAATTATGAGTATTAGCAATAATCATAATTTATGCCAATTTTAATGATGTATATAAAATCCTACTGCAATTGTAATCATGCTTTTGGCTATGTGTTATCTTCTGCCCTTTAAATATGCAAGGCTCAAGAAAACCTAAAACATTCTTTACAAGCTCTTAGGATTACTGCAAGCCCCAGGACTTAATAAGCCTACGCTTAGTGTCTAACAAGCCGCTAAGTCAAGTTAGGCATAGGCTTAAGTTGCAGCCAACCCTCAACTCTTAGAAAAGCTGCTTTAAAGCATGTTCAAGGCCCAAAACATCAAATTTTATGAATTGCATTATCATTTTGCAACATTTTGCCAACTAAAAATTATACTTGCATTTATTGTGTTGTTATAGGCTAGCCCACGATGTATGCATCTTGCGTTAAAACACTACATGCTCAAACCCATCCAAAGAATACCACAGTACAAGCTTCTGCTTACAGGTCAGTATATTTGATTTTTCTATCTTTGTTTGTTGCATTCACTTTGTTGTGGTCCATATTACTGTCATTAAGCACTAAAATATGTATTTATCCTAAAAATACATTTAAATGTGTAATGAAAACAAAGAAATCAAAATTTTATGATTTATACAGTATTGTATTATATTAATAGGTTATTATTATTATTTATTATTATATTATATTATTTTTAGATTACCTCAAAAAACTAAATCCTGGTTGTGAAGATTATTCAGATACACAAGGTAAGGCTACATTTGCTTTTTATGTATTAAGGTATATTTATTCAATCTTAACAGTTAAGTGCATGCATTACAGAACATGGCTGAATTGCATGTGAAATTAACAGTTGAAAATATAATATATAAAAAACAGCATAAAATTGACTACAGAAATTACAAATTGAAATGAAAAATTAAACAGAAAATCGGTCAAAAGCAATACATGCGTCAAAATTACATGCATGAAAAATTTGAACAGATAAATGAGCATTACAATTAAAATAAAAAAAACATGACTACTGCAAGTTTAATATTTGTTTTATTGTATTGGCCAAGAATAGAATTAAAATTTATGGAACTGTTTAGTTTTGTTTTAATATTTAACTTTCAAGGGGTTTATATTTTGGTTTTCAGTATGAAATGTCTTATATAAATTGTATATACCTTTTATATGGCATACAATATCAACTATCCTAATCAATTGATTTGGGTATGGAACATACTAGGCATACATATTCAGTATTGGTGTAAGCAATAACACAATGTAGGACACACAAATAACCAAAGCAAGACTTGGAAGCGCAAAGCTTTTCTGCTGTACCACATAGGCTTGGCTAGGCTGGGCTGGGCTGGGCTAGCCTGGAGTATAGATTTATTCATTCTTAATTTATAAACTAAGACACTAAGACATTAAAAATGTAATGTTCTGTGCATATTAATGGGGCATATGTTAGGTGTGGTATTTAACACACTTGTCTGTTCGAATATAATGCAAAATATATTTCATTTAAATATTTAAATTCTTGTTCACCTACAGCGGCTTTAAAAATTGTGAGTGAGGTAGCAAACCATGCAAATGAAACCATGAAACAAGGGGTAAGTTTATTTAATAGAATGCTCAAATTAAAAGTAATAATAATTATAATAACTATTGGGAGAATTTGTTACGGTGTAGGATGTTGCCAATACCTTTTTGTTACTTTTTTTAGGATAACTTTGAAAAGCTACTCCAAATTCAGCATAGCCTTATGGGAAATCATGAAATAGTGAAACCAGGAAGGGTAAGTTAAAGCCAATCTTTTTTTTAACCTATTTACCATTCTGAAATTTGTTGGTGTAGACAGCTATGGTCTGTAATAATGCTCGTTTATGGGATTAGTTGATAAAATATTTGTAATTAATATAATCCGCTAACTCCCTGAAGATTTTTATCACACCAAGTCTGTTAAGCTAGATTTGTCTAGTGTTTAATTTTTTTTATTTTTGCCTTAAGGTGGCTTGTGCTAAGGAAAGTATTAACTGTTATTAATATTATATACCATATGTAGACTTTGATAAAAATGAAGCTCTGGTTCAGCTATATAAATAGGCGAAGTTAGTAGCCAGCGAATGCTGTGTGCAATAACAGCCCTGCTATAAGATAGGAAATGACAGGTTGTGTTGATGACCATCTCTATACCATCTCTATACAGTGTAACTCCTATTGACGAGGTGACAACATGTGATGCCAACTGTCGTGTAATGCGACGCATTAGATACTTATAAATTATAAATGTCATTCGTGCAGCAGTGGTGATTCAGGCTAAAGGTCTGGGGTCATATACCAAGTGGTCCATTCGCTAGTGTCCGTTAATAGTGAATTGAAGTGGCCAACTTTGTCTTTAAAGTTGAAGTTGTCATGCAACAAATCTCAAGCTTTATATTGACATATCTAGAGGTTATACAAGACCAAAAATAAAATATTGCTAATTCACTGAACTAGACTTGTTAGTGGGATCTACCATGAGTTTTCTATTTGTTGGTGGGAATAGACCAGATGTAGCCTGACTAAACCTGATAACCCTATATTTAATTTTCCATGTTAAATCCATTGGGATTCCAGTGCCATGATTCACTTGCTTGTTGAAATAACTCATCAGGTGAAAATAAATGCATACGGCAGTCTGTTGCCACACCTGGTAGTAAACTTTTGGTGCTTGCATTGCCCTCAAATTTGTTTCTGTTAATTGTTTCATGTATTTTAAAATCTAATATTTTACCATCAAAATGTACTAAAAACACATTATATTAGTTATCGAACACGCGTTTAATCATCAATTAAAATTTACAAAGAAAAACTAAGAATACAACATCTTAATAATTACATTAGAAATTGGAATCAATGGCTTGTCAGTGGGAAAATGGCGTCCAGTTGAACACATTTTGCAACGATAGCAACGGAAGTAGTATCACATGGTATCGTGGCAGAACTGTTTAAGTGTATTGTAGTTTCTGTGCTACCTGAACATGCTCCAGTCATTCATGTTAGTGTGCAGTATGTAACTACAAATTCTTGGTTTACATCAGGACTACTGCATCGGACTACTTCATTTATTTTTTGCAACATTTCATTGGTTACACTTTCTAATCTCACATTTATCATTCAAATCAAAAACTCATCTTTTTGCAATGTTTCTCAAACACACCTATATAGTGCTTTAAACCTTTTATAGTAATATGCTCCCTAAGCTGATTCAATCCATCCCTAAACTGATTTAATCCCATCTAAATCCCTAAACGGATTTAATCCCATCTAATCCCTAAAATAATTTAATCCCATCTAGAATGAATAATGCTCTCCAGTGGGCCATTTATTATCTTTAAATATTCTACATGAGATTCCATTTAATAAATATTTTCTATCAATAGAAAATATTTTTTCACACAGTGGCTGGGATTAGTAGGTTTGTAGCCAAGAAACAAATTTCAAATGTGTTGATTCAAAACATATGTGCTTGTTGTGATCAACAGATTTTCAAGAAGGAAGGAATTCTGCTAAAGTTGTCCCGAAAGGTTATGCAGCCCCGAAGGTTCTTCCTTGTAAGTAGAAGGCAAATTTTTTTTTGTTATAACAATTGCAATTACATTGGTATGCAGATAGTAGTTGTATGCGAATTTGATTCCCATTTTAAAATAATAATTTGTATTTAGTTCTAGACTTAATATAAAATTACTACTACATTATTAGTTACACCTCAAATAAGCATTATTCACTAATAAGTCCATTAATTAATTTTTCATTAATTTCATTTTATTTCAGCTTTAGAAAAATAATTAAAGGATTTTTTTTGTTCTATACATGATGAGTTGCATTTTTAATTACCAGTTAAAATTCAAGGTTACTATGTTTATAAGATTTAGTTAAAAACCATTTCAGATGAGTGACTGCTTGCTGTATACAACACCATACCCATCTGGACAGTACAAACTCAACAACGAATTATCCTTAGCTGGAATGAAGGTAAGGTTGTGGATTTCATAATGTAGTAATGATTTTGTCATTAAATTTCCTAAATTAATATACGATGACTTTGTTGGCATTTTGAAAGCTAGTAATATTTTGTAATTAATCCTTAATTGATAGCGCAAACAAGTAATCGGAAGTCCAAATTCATGCTACCACAATTGGTTTTACACACTACTTTAGTTATTACAAACATGAAATTTAATACTGTAATGAAAGTTAAGGCAAGGTGGTGTGGGGTTTGACACTTTTCATATACATGCAATATACTGAATGTTAGTTACACATATTTTTATTGTAGGTTAGCCGGCCTGTTCAAGAAGACTTCCAGAACGAGTTTAGTATCATCAGTGTGCAGAGGTCATTCACATTGTCTGCAAGGTTAGTATTTTAATAAAGCAATGTCCCTTATTTGCATACTATAATAAATTATCAGATATGACATTACATCGTCAGTAATGCGCAATGCACATAAATGCTGTAAACAAGAATATGGGAATTCTCTAAGACATTATGTGCGTGTAAAATGACACGGTCTAACAAATTTTTAATTTGTCATGTTAAATATTATTTTTTCAGCACACCTGAGCTACTAGATGAATGGATAGATGCTTTAATGACAGCAATCACAGATTATGCTCAGAAGAAAAGTTCTTTCAATCTAATGCGGCCAGACTCTGTAAGTACATGTCATCAGTCTGCAAGCAAGGGTTAGACTGTTAGTGTAGGTGTATCCAGCAAAACCAGGTGGTGCAATCAGCAGCAACTTCTGGATTGAGGTTAATGTTCGTAAAGTTGCAGTAATTGGAGCAGATACGAGTCTGTGATGTTGTATTTCAGGCGGTATACTGGTAAAGTTTGTTAATGATTACCGGTTACCGCGTGGAATGCATCATCACACGACAGTGTCGTCTACAACAAGGAGCATTGATCTATCACAAACCAAATGTTTACAAAGGAAAATCATATCAAAAGCATTCTATGGTTACTAAGCAGCTCAATATTAAATTCACAAGACAAGTCTCTTATCTTATTATAAGCTATATCCATATAAGCTAGGTTCATATTCAGAGTTTAACGTGATCTAGTGGATCATGATCAAGCCAGTCACTTTATGTGAACCAACCAGAATCAAATAACGTGCTCAGCTTAATCACCTTATCGTGATCTAGTACAGCATGTTGATTAATTATAATTAACCTGATAAAGTAATTCAGCCTTCAGTTTATTAAACAGGTCCCAACCTCATTGGTTGTGCTTCTGGTAGTTTTCTTGAAAACTTATAAGAAGATCATAAGTTTATTACAATAACTTGTGAACGTGCCTATTATTTATTGGTTTCTTGGTATATTTTTTGCGCAGATGACAGAAGGCAACTTGATGAGTCTTGGTCGTAAAGCGCCTGTATGGATCCCAGATGGCCGTGTGACCATGTGCATGATTTGCACCTGTGAATTCACCATCACCTGGAGGCGGCACCACTGCAGGGCCTGCGGAAAGGTGAGTTGTATGCCCATATACAGTCATGATATTGCCTATTTATGGTTATGATGTGCCTATATATGGTCACATTATGATGTCATCATATATATTTAGGCATGGGCAGGGCTTCATATTGGATTTTAATATTGTACTGTTGTAAAAGGATTTGAGATATTTTAACATCATTATTTTAGTGGTTATGTTGTTATTACAGTCCTGCACAATATTGTTTTTCTAGTCTCCACTACCTCAGCCTCGATAAATATTTTTGTTTATAATTTTATTTATATTTGAGAGCCCTAAATATCAGTCACCTTTTTTAGGATAAGCTAGTGAAGTCACTGTCTATAAAAACAATTCTTGGCAGGTTATTGCTGTGTGATACAAATTGTTCAGGACTCGTTTTGTTTAGTACCAATTACCTAGTGTTTTTATTGCTTGTTCATCACAACCAATAACATTCATTATGTTCTGCAGGTTGTGTGTGGAAATTGCTCTAACAACAAGCTGCCCTTATCATACCTGTCCAAGGTTGCAAGATGCTGTGATGAATGCTATTCCTGTCTTAAAGAAGGTAAATATTTCAATTAGTGGCATTAGATGCAAACACACACATATATAAGCACTAGACATAAACAACAACATCATAATAAAATATATTTAAATTTCGCAACAAGAGTAGTTTCATACTCTTTTAAAAATCATGCAATATACATATTTCTAATATAATTAAAATTAAAAATGTAGATTAACTTCCACCCTTTTATATTAAATCAATACTATTATGACAATACCAACACTTGTAGCAATTTAATTTTATTTAATATTTGCATATTCACATTCTGATCAATTTGTAATCCTGCTGCCAATAAACAAGCAATGGTTATGCAGCAGGATCAAATTTATGAGATTAAATAAAACATTTTCTAGAGAATTTAAAGTAAGTGTGCCATTTTGTTGTATTGCACCCTCTAGTGGAAGGTCCTGATAATTATATCACCACTTTATTCATACTTGTTTGTAAAGATTGTCCTGAAGAAGATGAGAAAGAAGATGAAACTTTAAACAAGATGATGAAAAAGAAAAAAAACACAACAAAAGGAAAGAAAACAAGGGCAAACAGGAAGATGTCTAGACCATCAGCACTTAAAGAGGTAAACATTGAATTCAGTTAAAATGCAATTCATTTGATTTTTAAAAAGGAATTATTAATGCAGTAGTATTTGTGATATAGAATAAGTAATAATTAGTAGTATTTTCCCCACCTTGGTGTTGACTACTGTGACCAAACTGTTGTTGTTGTTGTTGTTAGCAGCCTCCGCTGGGCCTCAACCTTGTTGTCAGCACAAGTTTAAATCTCACTTTTTTCTTAGGGTTCCAGTTGCTGGACCCAAGTCCGCACACTAAAGGTTACTCTAGTATTCTGACCACACCCAGCCTGCCCATATCAGCAAAAGAAAACCACTAAAAAAATTAATCAATAAAATTTAAAAAAAATTTAAATATTAAAAAAATAAAAAATAAAATAACAAAATAATAAAAATAAGATAAATGAAAAAAAATAATAAAAAAAAAAAAATAAATAAATAAATTTATTTTGATTGTAATATACAGGTTGCTGCCAACGAGTGTAACATCACAATGAGTGGATACCTGTTCCAAAAAGGAGCTAAGAAACAATGGAAAAGATACTGGTATGTAATAAAAGACAAAGTGCTGTATACTTACAAAGCCAGTGAGGATGTTGCTGCATTGGAGAGCATGCCGTTATTGGGATACGACATACGAGTTATCAATGAGGTAAGCATAATTAATACAAAAATTTTTTAGTACAATGTTTAAATTGTTTATGTTGTATACAGGTCTTCTACGGATTAAACACCAGGTTTCTATGGTTTTTAGCAGTTTTGTATTTAATTAGGCATTTGTTGATATGGGACCACAGAATTTTTTTTTTTATTTGGATCATGGAGGTATATCATCATTGGATGTTGTCTTTAATTGAAGGAGTCTGATTAGAGGGAGAAATGTATTTGCATTTACATTTATCCACCTTTCTTTACAGTACTATGATGGGGTTGAAGCTGGACTAGTTCTACAGTTATTTCATCAAGGACGACAAATTCGAATGTTTAGGACAGAAAGCAAAGTTGCAACTGAAAAGTAAGTCTATATTATTTTTACTTAAATGTTAATGTAAACATTATTAAAATACCTTAAAAACCTCAAATAGAAGCCTCTTTAGGAGCCTTGGATGGGCTTCTTTTTGATAGGTGCCTCTTTTCGAGATGGACTTCAAATTAAAAGCTGTATATTTTGAAATTGCTACTACACAACATTATTCAACTATGAAATTTGAAATTCTGCTTAATATTTTTAAAATTTTAACCATGATAGTACAATAAAATAATATTGATACTGACGTGTTATCATAATAACCACAGATGTCTAAATGCAAGTACTTTTGAAAGAAGCCCTGGCCTTTTTTTTTAGGAGCCTTGGATAGGCTTCCTTTCGAGATGGGCGTTTTTTTTAATTTTTTTAGGAGCCTTGGATAGGCTTCCTTTCGAGATGGGCGTCTTCTTGAGATTAGTTCTAAGGGTTTCTATTCAAGGTTTAATGGTATTTTAGTCTTTTAGTTCCAACTACTTAATGTACCGTAAAAGGTACAACACTGAAATAAAATACTTTGTCAAAAAAAAATTTGATAGTTTAGCCAGGGCTTTGTACATACAATATTATTTATTTTCACAAGTTATAGCAGATTGATTTCCTTTGTTTACAGATGGAGAGATGCCATGCATAGCGCCACCATACTGTAAATAATGGACTTTAAGGAGAATGTACGGATAAAATAAGATGCTCAACAGACTTCCCATTTACAACTACTTGCTGTAAATATCTTTACCAAACTAATGATCTTTCTACCAAAAGTGGTGCCTTAAAATAGTAATTTTGATATAAATACAATAATGTTTATTAAATTTTCTATAAACATTTATATATTTCTAAATATATCTTAGCCATAGGCTGTTCTATTACAGAATGTGTAAAAAATACTAGAATTGTGTATAAATAATAATCGGTTTATTGAAAATATTTTCCAGATTTAAATGAATATTAATGGATGATAGAAACTCTATTGGTGTGGAAGCACTTGAGTAATGTTTACAGTTAATTCGTTTATTTTAATTTTTTTCAGATTTCGTTGAGTACAGTAAAACTTAAAAGAATACTTATTTTTCTATATAAAGGAAATACAAATAATATTTTAGAAGATATACCGTACTGTACTGTATTTTAATTATGTTCATACTAAATAGTTAAATTTTAAATCAGGTTTTTAAATTTACTTGAATAAAGCCAAGTTAACATTGTACTCTTAAGTAGTTTTATTATAATCTCCTTTGAAACTACCTCTCGAGCATAAAAGAAAAATAATGGACTCGTCCTAGCTCGCCTATATACGCCCTGCGTGAATGAACAATATCCTTTTTGACTTCGAGACTATAACAGATTTCGGCGAGGGAGGAGAGAGGGCGTTTATCCAGATAAGTATCTCACTCATAGACTAACATCACTACTGATTTGTTTAGTCTATTTCGTGAATACTTACCTGGATAAACCGATAAATGCCAGATAAGCACCGGCAACCGGTGGAGGCCAACATAAATCACAAAAAAGGTAACGTGACGGGCGAAGAACTGCCTCGGCTACTAAAGCCTCGGAGGCAAGAACTTCAAGGAGAAGGAGGAAAGGTCGTGTCTGAACGCCACCATGCCGCTTGGAGAATGTCCGGTATTGGAACCCCACAGAACATTGTCACCTGCTGTCTGAATCCACACAAGCCTCTTAAAAGGCCACTAGTATTTAATGATGGTTTCTAATATACAATAATTTAAATTCAGACACAAATTTTATTAGTCTACATATGCATGTCAAGGTGCTTTTATCTGGTCATAAAATACAGAAGCAATATCTTTTTCTATCAGTACTCAACTCACAATTCTTAAGGCAGTGTGATGCAGTGCATACAGGATCCAATGCAGGCAGTTTATGATATACTAACAGGATTTAAATATAGATTCTATCAATAACCAATGACAGGCAGTTTATGATATACTAACAAGCTTTAAATATAGATTCTATCAATAACCAATGACAGGCAGTTTATGATATACTAACAGGCTTTAAATATAGATTCTATCAATAACCAATGACTTTGTTCTTTGTTTTACATTTACACTATTGATTTTCAGAATTCAATAGTCTAATGTATGCAAATAGGAAAATAGTTGTATGTATTGTTTTACAATGCCTAGGTCTGTAATACTGTACTGATTTACAATCTGGCTTGAGCAGTGCAATTACAATTTTTTATTTTTTTTATACATAAAAATATACAAGATTGATAAATAAAAAAATGCATATTAAGCAAAAGGATAACAATGCTATTATGGTGTGCTTCTCCAGAAGCACACCATAATAGCATTTTTATCCATTGGGATTTCTTTGTTTTTTTTGAATGGAACTTCGACCAGTTCCATTCATGTTCTATATTTATTCAATACATATTCAAGCTGCTTTGAGATTAATAAATCAACCATAACATGCAAATAAGTCCTATTGTGCAATGGGCCTACATCATTATTAGGCTACTGTTCATTAGGAGAAATACTGGGCAGAAAATACTAACTTAGAATACTGCTTTTAAATGTGAGTATGAAAGTGTAGTTTAGATCGAAATCTGGGCCGCGAAACAATTTCAGAGGGCCGTGAAGAAGTCTTAGAATTTAAAAATATAACAAAGATACGTTTCATCATTGAGAAAATAGTTTATTAAAACCGCTTCATTGTTACAGCGAATGCGCAGCTTTTACACGCTGTAAAAGCTGCGCAAGTGCCAGATGCGTGCTGTTTGATTTATAAGCGGTTTCTGTGTCTGACCACTTGGGGGCTGACACTGTTATTGTCTAGCCGTGTATTTAATTTCTATGCAATGAAATTTTGCCGCTGAGAGAACAGATAATTTCAAAATCGTATACATGGAGGCTTCATGATCAAAATTTTGCCAGGATTTAGTATGTTGGTCCCTGGCGCTGTTGTACTACTGCTGGGCCGCGGCTTGGTGCCTGGCATCGTAAATAGGCCGTGAAGTAAAAAGTTTGAACGCTAGTTTAGATTTACAGTACAGTAATTTTTTTTAGAATTTAAAACCTGATCTAATGTATGCAAATACAGTATAGACTTGTCAAAATGCGTACGAATAGTTTTTTGTATTGTAACTGTACGATAGTACAGTACAGTATACTGTAATACATAGGCCTACCTGATGATGACATACTGTAATTAATGTCGAAATATTGAATCCCGACACGATGGCGTGCATTTCGATACTTGGAGTATGTATTGTACCATCTTATCGGAGATTAATCTGTGGATCTTTTTTGTGAATGTTTAGTAACCCTCTCCTCCCATGTCCTTCATGTGCAAGAACTAACACTGCTGATTCCGTTTTTTTTTTTTTTTGGCTGGGGAACTCAGAGTGATGGTAACGGTAACGGTATAACTCGCAGCTGTGTCATTGTATTAAATTGCATATTGGCGTAGTCGGTGACTGCCACCCAGCGTGACCACTGCTTGGGTATTTACCCAAGATCTTGGGTATTTTGACTTGGTCTTGGGTTCTTGAGTATTCCGTTCAAATCCTTGGGTATTTTATTTTTTCTAAGAAAATTAAATATTTTTATCATAGAGGAAGAATTAAGAAGTAACAAAGTATATTTCAGTCCATTCAAGTAAGCAAAACTAAGTAAGCATTTTACAGTACAGTAGTTGTTTTTCAGTGACAAAATAAAAATGAAATACGTTTTTAACCAATCAGCGGACAAAAAACGTAGCTAAGCTAGCTGCTTTTGCCTACTTTTCAAAGTGGGGGACATGGTATCGATTGCCCCCCCCCCACTTTTCACCAATCTTCTATAATTAAAACCCCACTTTTACAAGCGAATGGAAAGAATAACAATTACGCATGACTCATGAATTTTGTCTGTTCACTTTTCTAAGTGCGGTACGTTTTTTCCTGACCAAAACCAAGTAAAAACGCAATTACTGTATTTATTGATTGTTCTTACTATAAAATAATCTGAATTCAGACACTAATTTATTTAGTGCACATATTCATGTCCAAAGTGTGTATTTTACAGGACATTGCATGCAGATATCAGTCTGATCCTTTTTTGCAAAGTGTTTTATCAACACTGAACCCACAAGTCTATAAGGACACCGCAATACGATGCAGCCGAAGCGGGGCATTTATGATATAAAGTTTGAAATGGTAGTGTGTATTTTGATATGTATCATGCTATCTAAGCTTATCTGACCTTTTTGGATATTTCCAGCTTTAAAACGCGATTTAATTTTTATTCTATTAATTTTGGCATAAAAATAATATGTCGGTCTCATATGGTGCTTCATGCCTAAAGCCTCTAAGCGATTCACATCATTTTATTTTATTTATTTTAGCATAATATGTCGGTCTTGTATAGCGCTTCATGCCAAAGCTTCTAAGCGGTTCACATTATTACCCCGGGCATTGGATCAAAGACATAAAAATACATTATTACCCTGGGCATTGGATCAAACATAAAAATACATGACAATAATCATTTGTTGAAAACAGTCGGGTGATTTGACCGGGGAGAGGTGGAACTGCAGGTCACCCTCCTGTCTGGACCCCTGATCGGGCATTACTGGAATTGGAGGCCGCCGGATTTGGCCGGCCTTTGTTTGTAGCAGTGTCTCATGGTTGGAGCCTGAAACTGGGGATAAGTTCCGTTTACCAAACATGGTGTTGGTTAGGAGGCTGTGCCCGCTTTTCTCTGGTTGGGTCAGTGGCTGTATACTTATACAGTACTTTTTTTTTCTTAGATTTTCTATTCCATGTGTGTATATGTACTGTTTTGTCACAGTATGTAAAAGACAAGCCACTGCGGCTTCTGTACATGTTGCCATTGTACAAATGTTATTTTTTATTCAACAAAAAAAACAACAAAGCCAAGGAGGATTGAAAACATAACAGCTGTCACCGGTAAGGTCTTCTCCAGAAAGGCATTAGCTTATTAAGGTTTCTTTGTAGTTCTTTGACTTACTCTCATTCCAAATTCGCCATTTCATGTTCTATAACAATTCAATAAAGCTGCTTTGATATTTATAAGTCAAGCATAATATGCATAACAATAGGCCTACATCATTACTGTTCATTTGGAGGTGTACTGGGCAGAAGTATTATTTTTTTTAAATACCGTTTAGATTAATAGTATAAATTTTAAGAATTTAAAAATTAATATCATTTATACAATTACTTTAGCATTATTAACTTTTTTGGCTGACAATTAGTGATGAGCACATTTGGTGATGAGCACATTTGGTGATGAGCACATTTGGTGATGAGCACATTTGGTGGGGTGGCTTTAGTTTCTACACAACATGTCACACATTAGTCGCATTCTCTGGGTGCTGTTTTTTAATTTTTTAATTTTTTTATTGTTAAAATTTAATTTTAATTGTGCAATTCAATATCTATTTAATGAAGGCTTTATTTGTATATCGTATTTCCATATCTATTTTAAAATTTTAAATAATGATTTTAAATGTAATTTTTAATGTGCAATCTTGGACACTATTGGAAATCATTTTTATATTGTTTGTACATGTTGAGCATCGAATATATTCAATCAATCAATCAATTAATGGAACCGGTTCCATTCGCTATTCATGTATTGCATTTGTTCAACAAAATGTTAAAAGTGCTTTGAGATTGATACATCGAGCAGAACATGCAAATAAGGCTCGTATTGTACTTATGAGGCCTATAGATCATTACTGTTCATTAGAAGGAGAGATTGGACAGCAAACTAGGAAAACTGCTTTTGTAAGTACGAAAATGTAATCTAGATTTACAGTTGACTTTCAGAATTTAAAATATAAACTAATATATGCAAATATACTGTAGTATGTATGCCTTAGGATTGGATTTATTCGGTGTAAACAGCAAGTGTAGCCCACGAAAGTCTAGAAGAAGACTTAATTCCTGTGAGGTCCCTCTGGTGGTGATTGGGCACTGCAGTACCGGGAGACAATCCCCTACTCTTTCCGAAGAGTGTTCTGCGTTCTTTAACGTGCAAATGGGCCATAAATGCACACGGACAAACAGCTTAAACGTCTCATCTGAAGGACGGTACGCTATTGTAACTCGTATTTCAGCCCTCCAGCTGAAACACAAGAAGAGGCAGCGATGGGAATTGAACCGGGGACCTAGAGATCTCCATGT